AGCGTCCTCCTCCCGCTCCTCCTCCCGCTCCCCTCCCCAGCCCGGTGCAGAGCCCGCCCCGGCCGGGCGGCCTCGGCTCCCGGCGGCCCGCGCCCTCTCGGGCTCCGCTCTCGGCTCTCTTCCTCCCCCGGCCCCGCGGTCCGAGCTCCGAGAAACTAATCCTGGAGCTGCCCGGAAGGGCGGGAGTGGACGGCGCTGGGGGCCGGCGCTGGGGCCCGGCCCTGGGCTCGCGTCCCCGGCCCCCTCCGACTCCCCAACAGGTAGCTCACACTCGGGCCGCGAGCTCTCGCTCTGCCTCCCTCGCTCTCTATCGCTCGCTCCGTCCCGGTTACCTGGGCGGACTCCAGGATGGTACCGCACGGGAGGGCTCCTTGTGCGCTGCGCCGCGGGAGTAAATGGCATTAAAGAAAAAGGGAAACATACAAATAAAAAAAAAATAAAGGAAGGGGAGTCGATGCTAGGTCAATTAGCACAGCCCGGGGAGCACGGGAGCAGAACCCCCCAGCGCCGCGGCCCCGCACCCCGTTAACTCAAGTCTGCGGGGGTGTCCCGCTGCGGGCGGGGGCAGCGCGGAGCCGCTGAAGTTTACCGCGGGGGTGCCAGGAGGTGCGCGCGGAGCGGGGTGACTAGGGGCTTCCCCCCCGAAACAAGTGAAGGCGATGGTTAGTGCTGTCAATCTTGGCAATCAGTGTGAGCGGCCATGTCGTAAGTATTCAAAGCATTTCCCGTCGTGCAACATCAGAAAGTGAGTGGCCAGGGCATTGATCTGAGCGAGGGAGAGGAGGCAGGGCTCCCCTCCCAGACAACTCAGGCAAGATGAGACAAGAGGCGAGGCGAGGGAGCAGCGAGCCGGGCGGGGAAGCTGGGAGGGAGGGGGAGGGCTGGGGGAAGAAGGAGGGGAGGGAGGGAGGCAGAGGCAAGAGAGAGCCGCGGAGAGGAGGGCAGAGAGACCCGCGAGACCGGAGGTGGGATGAGAGAGAGCGTCTGGACGGAGAGTAAAGTGACTACTACAAGAGAACTTGAAGGGGACAAAGAAGGAGACTCTGGGTCAGAGGGAACTAGCGACAAGTATTAGGTGGAGGCGAGGCAGGCTGCAGAGAGCGCTATTAGGGCTGAGGCTTCTGGGAGGAGGAGTCTAGCGGAAGGCAAACTGAAGCAGGGTAGAAAGGTAGCCAAGTGGGGAGGAAAAAAGAAGCACGCTGGAACTGAGGAAGTCAGATGGGAGAGGAAAATGCAGGAGTGGTAGCTTCGCTTTGGAAAAGTTAAGTGACAGAAGGAGGCTTGGGCTGAGCGTTAGGAAGTACTGAGACACACAGCAGGCCCACAAGTGAGTCCACGGGAGAAGCCAGAGGGGGAAGCAGACCAGGAAAAGCGAAGAAAGGGGTGCAAGGATGAACAATTTTAAAAATGAAGAGAATTAGAGCAGTGGTGAAGAGAGAAGAAAAAGAGATGGAGGCAGCAAAGATCATGAAAACACAGTAGAATCTCAGTAAATGGGAGAAAAGAAACATTTTAAAACATGGAGGGGGAAAAATTTACAGGAAAAAAAAGGAAAAGGAATGACATAGAAGACTCCTAACTTATGTAGGTGGCAGTGTTCTGGAGGCCATATGGATTATGGAGTTTATGAATTAAATTTTTATAAGTAAAAAGACATAAACTACCAATAAAAAATTTATACCTTTATGCCAATACATAAAATAGTTCCATATTTGTTATATGGATAAGTCTGTGTTGCATGGAATCAAGTAGATAATACATTGTATTACTTTACATATGCAAAGGAAAAGGGGTAATTTAGTGGTAGTAGAAGATGAAGAGTTTCAAGTCACCTAGGATAGTACGTAAAACTGCACAAGTCAGATGTAGAAAACTATGTTAATAACTCCCCCCAAAAAACCTACACAAATTAAAGATTCCCTTTGATTAATGTGTAGGATAGATTAAAGATTTGAAGGGTGTAAAATGGCCTAAAGGAGCAAAGACCTGGAAATTTATCTCCTTGGGGAGAAAAAAAAAGTTGGAGAACCAGGAACGGAGAGAATAATGGTGTTGTCAAGTAATTAAGATGCAAAATAAGAGGTGAGAAAATTAGCTTTGAGAACAGCATTAGCTAATCACAGGCTATGTGCAAAGGGTGGAGGCTGGCCTGCTTTAACCTAGGCCCAAAGAAATCCATTAGACTGGAGAAACTGAGGTCAGTGGAGAGTCAAAACTGCATCAAAATTAAAAACTAGGAGAGAAGTTCTGACGTAACTAGCATAACCTGCAGAGATTTCTGAAGACCTCTGTTATGGTGAAGCTGATATGAGATAGCCACCTGGAGACACCTCATAAAACAGACTTTGTGAAAGGAGATTTAGACCAGGAAAAAGAGGTCAGGAATGGCGACTTGAAACCCAGAAAATGTTCAGGCAAACTAACACTGCTAACATAAGGAAGATCTCCCACAGATTAAGTGACAAAGGATAAAAGCGAGAAAGTCTCATCTTTGTTGTGGAGAGAGTAAGCAAGCAAAGAAGCGGGAGACACTGAAATGTCAATCATATATTAGCGTCTTAATGTATACCCTATGCCTGCTTCCTTAGGAATTCCAGACAAGAGAAAGAAAAAGACAGAAACAAGGGTGATGAGGAGAACCTAGGATCAGTGGGGCGGAAGAAATAGCCAGATGTTTCTGTCCCAATGGGACACATGGTGCTTGAGGATTAGAAGTTTAGGGATTTTGAGTAAAACTGACTTGATGACTGTTGGTTCAGAGGAGAACAGAGTCCCTGACAAGAAATGTGTCCTAATCGCCTGCTTCGATTTTCAGGGCTGGACAGTCTGCCTCCACAACCTAGAGAAGGCAAGCAGGACTCCCTGGTACCTCACAGGCCAGCTGCCACAATGGTGGGGCCGCCCCTTGACCTCTGAGGCCCTAGGGGCAGCTCAGACCTGTGTTTCTAGCCTAAATAGTATCCCTTCGTGTGTGTATGTGTGTGTCTGTGTGTGTGTGTGTTTGCGCACAGGCGGGTGCTCACGAACGTGGCCCGACCGGGCCCAGCTCTCAGTTCCTGAACCTCACACTCTCTGGTCGCCAGTCCTGGAACTCAACCACAGAGGCCAAAAAACCTCTCCAAAGCCCAAAGACGCTAAAATCAAAAGACCTTTCCTAAAAGCCCGCAGAGAGAAGAGGGGGTAGGTTAGGTTCCCAAGCCTGATTCCTGAGGGAAGAGCCTCGAAAGTGGTGCAACATCAGCGACTGAAACACTAGGGTAAGACTGGGTCTTTCCAGTTGCAAACAGGTTCGGTTTCCCAAAGACCACAGCGTCACTCTCTTAAAAATCACAGGGTACCCAGGACTCCGGGAGGCGAGACTGACCCTACCAACAAGATGCAGGCCGCTGGCGGGAGGCAAGAAGAAAAAGGAGACATGATCAACATCTCTGTTGATCAAGACCCTAATATCGGCCACGACGGACTTTCTGAAAAGGAGTAGCAAGAACTCTCTTTAGATTTTAACTAATAAACTAATATCGAAGTCGCTTGTTATGGCGGAACCCGGAGCAGGTCGCAACACTGATCTCTAAAAGAAAGGAAACAAAAGTTTGGGGCCTCAGTGCTGCACTTCAAGCTGTGCACGGGGTGACACGTGGCTCTGGGGGCGGGAGTGCTGGCTGAGGGTTTCCTCAAGCCTCGGGCGCAGGCTGTACCGAGAAGTGGGCCAGGAGGAGAGCGCCGCAGCCCGCTGAAGCGCTAGGATAGCCCCTGGTCCGCACCGGTCTGCGGGCTCCTGAAGTCCGGAAGAGGCACAGGATACCCAGACTGGAGCACACAGCCTCACTTCCCCGGGGATCAGAGACTCCCGCGGAAAAAGGGCCCGGGGCACTGAACTCCTGGGCGCCAGGGAAGGAAGGAGGGGCGAGAGGGTGGGGCCGACTTACCTTTCGCAGGTCGTCGCCGCCTCTTCGAGGTCCGGGTGTCCCTGCGCACCGCAAACACCAAAGGCTACTCGGCTTTGCTAAGTTTGGCCTCGCACCTTCAGAGAAGAGGCGCGAACTCGCAAAGGAAACGCGTGTGAGGTTCCTGGAGAGAGATCCCCTGAACTTGGGACGGGCAACCGCAATTAATTCTGCTCGAGAAGTTAATATTAAAACACCTACGCAAAAAATCATAACGGCCGTTAAAACCTCGAATCCCCGCTTTGAAAGTCTCCTACACCAGCCAGGCACATAATTCAGACCTACGTAACTTCATCATAAGGTCGATAACTTCTTTCAGGAAGGGCTTCAGAACCAGGTACTGTGTAAATAGGACAAACACAAATGACATTCACTCCAAAACAACAAAAAAGAGAACTTTTACTGAAACGAAGAACAAGTGAGAGAGTATAAAAGCCAAAAGAGAAGAAGTTGAAAACTTTAATTATACCACGGACAAAAGTTTTCTCAATTGGTTTCCTTAAACGGGGTAACAAACACAGCAACAATCCGGCAGCGCAATGCATTTCACTTCAGTCTGGAGTAACTGAAGAACCTGAACACCCAAATACCAGTGCCCTTGGGACTCTGCCTCAAAGGGGTCGGAACTTATGTTTCAAAAGCAAAAGCAAAAACCAAATTGTGAACAGTGCTCTGCGTTCTTTAATATGTCATTCCACAAAAGGAAAAGGCATCGTCCTTCGACTTTAAGTGGATGGAGAATAACATTAAATTTCCTTTGACTGTCCCAGTCAGCCTGTTGGGAAGACCGCGACCGCAGTGACAGCAGCAGCAGAGCACTGCCACAAAGGAGGTGGGGAAAAGTGGTTTTAAAAAATGCATGAACTTTTTTTTTTTCAGAGAAAAATAAAGATACATCAAAAATAAGTTTTATAGGCATGCCTTTCCTAGCTTAGGAAAGTTAATTTTCAAACGTGGTTCTGCTGTCTAAGGTGCAAAGCCGAGGCTGGGGGAGTGCGTGGCTGGAATCTGCATGCTGATAAGAGAAGGCTGGTGTACTTACAGTGACAGAGGGCAGGCTGCGGGAGAAAAGCTGTTTGTGTTAGCCTGCGAGTTACCCAGGGCTGCAGTGAGAGCAGAAGGGAGGAGTGGGAGTGCCAGTCTGCGTACACCTTCACCGCGGCTCATTACATCTGCCAGCCTCTCTCTCCCTCTCTCTTTCATTTCCACATTCCCTTTGTTCCTGAAAAAAAAAAAAATCTACACGTCACATCAGAGTCCCCAGATGCAGTCTACACCAAAGAAAAAAATGAATAATTCAATCAAACTGTGCATAGTCTCTAAGGCAATAAATCTATTGCACTTAAAGAAACGAAGGGTAATTACCACCATGGAATTAGAATAAGGCCAAAGACCAGAGATGTCGCTGAGTCTCTGGGTAAACTCTCCGGTCAAATAAAGTTTCATTTATTTAACCCCAAACGGAAAAAGATTTTTAACTTATTTTAGAAGGGTATTGACTTCTTTCTAAACACATCTAGAAGGGGGGAGGGAAGAAGGAGAGAAAAGCTTGGCGCATATCACCTTGTTCAAAAGCTCCCCAAGGCAGCAGCACCGAGCAGGCACAAACACCAATCAAGACAATGTGTGTCCGTGAAGCCTGTCCAGGGTCCATTTCTCCCCCACTCCACCCTCCTCCACTCCCTTCTGATCACGGGAGGAGCGCCCTCCACTCTCACCCGCCACTGCAGCTCTGCGGGAGGGCAACTGGAATCTGAGAACCTTACCTGAAGCCCGGAGACCTAAGAGAAATCCTGCTTCCCTGCCACCAACAACATCCCATGCCATTCCTATGCACCCCTCCAAAGTCCCGTCACCAGCTACTTCTTCCATCTGCCTAAGAGAAACTGTAAACGGGATTCCCCCCACCCACCCACCCACGATTGAATGGAAGCTCTGTACTGTACCGACTTCTGGATTTGCCCTAGGTCGAGTTTAGGGAATGTCTGGAAAGGGGGAAAAAAAATAAGAGGAAAAAGGAGGGGGGACAGTTCCAGTCGGGTCCAAGTTAGAAGGCGGTGTCAGGCAGGAAAGCGCCTACGGGAGAAACAGCTGGGATGCAGACTGGCTGTGGAAATCTCAGTTCTAGGAACCGTGTCCTTTCGTCCAGGAGGTAAGATTGTATGACTGTCGCACGCTTATTCTTTCGATGTCTGTATTTCTTTCTTCCCCACCCCCAGCTACCGCTACCACTCGGGTCAGCGGGCATGCACCGGGAGAAGGGCAGCAGCGCAGCGGAGGGCTTTATTTTCCAGGTCTGTCCACGCATAGATCGTGTCACTGAAACGAGATTAGCAAATCTACTGCTGCCGGCAGCGACCAGACCCGCTGTCCTTCTGCCAGTTGCTCACTGTTCGAGACATCTCGGGCTGCAGGGTGTTCTCAACGCCCAGCCCGTCAGGTCGCTGGGCCTGAGGACTCACTCAGGTGATGCAAGGGAGGCTCGCGGCGCCCCAGAAGGGTTCGGTCAAGAGCTTCCACCACATCACCACTTTCTACTTCTTCGGCGCCCGCACGGACACGGACACGGACACGGACACACGCGCGCACACGCACACACACACAGGCACGCACGCACACATGCACACACGCTTCTGACACTCTGGCCGAACTCTTCATCTAAACTGGGGTCCCTTTAACAATCGATTCAGCCCTCTGGAGAGCAGCGGGGAAACTAGGATACGTGGATGTACCGCTAGGGTGCCGGCCGTCCGCTTTGGCTGCGCTTTGTTTACGTACCTAAGTCGCCACCTTGAGGTCGTGCGTAAGACTGCGAGCTCGGTGGAAGACCTACTAGTCTCCCGCCCGCTGCACAGCCTCTGCGACCTCCTGGGACTGCTTAAAAGGGAAGCAAAAGGGAGCACGCTCTGGAGTCCCGGCAGCCGAGCGAGGCAAGACTTGCCCTCCGAGACCCGGCGGAGAGGAGTGAGGGCTAAGCCACCCACTAGCTGAAACCCGTACTGGGAGTGGAGCGAAGGCGCATTCTCCCAGCAGAGTACAAAGCTCGGGTCAAAGAGTCTGCAGCTCCCAGGCAGGGACTGCAGATCAGAAATTTCAAGCATTAATTCCCGGGCAGTGGCGGAGGGTCCAGCAGCCTTTGAAGAGATGTAGCATCCGTCCTGGTCTTAGCCAAGGATCCACTGGCCTTTTGCAGTGACTTTGGCTCAGCACAGAATCCGAACGCCCTGGGAGTCATTTCCCACTTGCTCTCCACATTCAGGACAGGAGGCAGACAAAAGGGCCTCAGGGGTGCAGCTAGACCCAAGGTCGAAAACAGAGGTCTCCGAAATGAAAACTGTCTTCAGGAGAGGGACGTTCTGCTGCTCAGGCTGGGTACTTAGCTCTCTACTCACCCATTTCTCCAGAGAATCAGCCCTTCTGAGCATCCAACAATGGGTTAGATAAACAGTAATGACTGTTGTTATTTATATCACCTATTTTCATTTTCCCATTGCTACCTCTGTGATAGCCCTTTTTTGTTCACTGTTCTTCCTACAGTGTGTTTTTGTTTTGTGTTGTAAGGACACCAGGCTTAAGACTGCCCTAGCTTGCTCTTGGAACAACGTATTGTGATTGTTCTTTGTTGTTCCAGGACATTGCCTTCAACGACATTGTCATCCATAAAGTCCAACCAGAGCTCTCCTCAGGCAACTGTGCCCAGCGGGTACCAGGGTCATTTTTCCTGCTGTTTGGGTACAGAGATACTGTTTAAACGTAATGTTTTATAAAAGAAGAGGAAGAATTCGATTTATTTAGGAAAAGCAATACTTGGAAACTAGTTTGTATTATATGAAAGCATAAATCTGTTCCAGCTTACTCCCACTTAGGCCTTTGGGTATTTTAGTCAGCAATAAATAAATACTTAAATAAACTGAATTTTAAAAATAGAACAACAGCAATGTAACACTAATGGACAGCAGGGAATGTCTTCAAAGAAGAGAAGCAACAGGCCCCCTAAGCCAGAACCCATTTCCGAGTTTTGTGCCACAGCCTAGCGAATTATCCTTGGACCACTCTTCCACTCATGTGGAAAGCCTAGTGTTATTGAATACAGTTTTGAATTTTCCCAGGGAATCCCAATTATAGAAACACCTGTGCTAAGTAATGCTATTCTAATCCACTATGAAAACCTAAAGTATGTAATAGCCCTCAAATCATCTCATTTCTTAGTCGCAGTGGGGTGAGCCAACCTCCTGGAAGAACATTAGACTTGTATGAAGTCCCCAGAGCCTTAACTCGAAAGAGCTTGGCTTTGCCATACATAATCCTGGCAGTTCATTCTACCTTAAATGGAAGAAATATACATTGAAGCCTAATATAACTGGCAGAAACTAAGCCTAGGTAGAAACATTATTTAAAGAGAAATACAGTAACTATAAAACTGGAACACATATCACATGTGCAATCAGAGACCAATTCCATAATTTTAAAAGAAAAATTCTAACAACATAGACGTCATTATTCAGCCTATATGCTCCACTTTAATATAAATAGAATA